CCTATCTTTCCTAATCGTCTAGATCGAAGGCGTAAGCTGACTGTACCTTTTTCTTTTCTTTTATTTTTCTCTGCTTCGATCTCGGCTGAGGGTGATGGGGAGACTGTGATGTTTGTGGCGGTGCGTATATATATATGTGTGTGTGTGTATGTATGTGTATCTTCGATGCTTCACTCTTGCGTGCATCGCACGTACGTAAGACGTAAAGTGTATTGTACGGTGTATTTCTCAAAAAAAAGTTAATCTATATGTAACCGACAAAACCCTACTAACAAACGTTTCTTGCTTACCATACATGAAGACAAGGGGGGGGGGGGGAGAGTTGGGTTAATGAGTTTAGATGGGGTTTAGCTTTTGGGAGAGTGGAAATTTGCAGGTGTAGAGTGGGTTGGTTGGTGTAAATTAGGGTGGAATTCGGTCCGGTGAGACTGCGGGTGGGCGCGGTATGATAGGCTGAGGAGAGGGAAGAGGTCGCGTGCGAAGTGAAGTTGGGTGTTCTGCTGGACTGGAGGTTTGTGTTTTGTTGTCTCCATAGTGTGTGGGGGTGGATGGGTGCATGGACAAGGGAGATGGGAATATAGTCAAGAGTGAAAAAGTGTTATTTTCGCATCACAGGGTTTTTTTTTAAGTCTTGATCATTTAATACATGAGATGGCGGAGCAAAAAACAAAAAGGCATCAAGCAAAAGGAGAGAGAAAGAATGGAACATGTCTCTTTGCCTCACTCTCTCTCGACTGCAAGTTAGTTTTACTACAACATGGCGGCACGGCTGCCTCCGTCCCGCATGTAACATGGACCATCTCACGTCATGCCTAAGGCGTCTCTTTGCGCAGAAATTCGTAAAATTAGTAAATCCCACCGCCGGTGCTATTAATATCATGTAAGCTCTCCCGTCCCTTGCGACACATGCAACCTGGACAGTTCGTCAGAGGTTCCAACGTCTGGCAGGATCCAATTAGCGACGGTCCTTTTGTAAGTGGTGCGAAGGCGTTGGTTTAATTACACTTGATGACTAGATGGCATACTTAGATCAAAGGGTAAGTGGCATGGTGGGGCCTTTTCTACATGTGGTTCATAGTGAGACGGGTAAGCGTAAGACTCTTTTGTGATGAGGAAGCAAAACGAAGAAGGAAAAGTTAATCATCATCATCATCATCATCATGGAAATGAATCCGTAGCGATGTTCCTCTCGACCAGACCTGAACCTATTCGGGCTTGTTCTTCGTATTTAACCTTTTTGACCTTTGGGTTCGGAGGACTGAAGGCCGGGGGGCGTGTAGGTGACTACAAGTATCGAGCTTCAATCGCGAAAAATGAAGGAAGAATCACAGCAATTCGCAACATCTTTGTAGATATCTATCTCTATTCACTCTCTCAAGCTCTCTCTGCTTCACATTCCTTTATTCCTACATATCAGTCCAAACGACCCGAGATTTCCTCACACATTATTCAAAAGATTCTAATTTTTGGTTAAAATGCGTCCTTCCGCTATCACCCTCTTCGCCCTTGCGGTGACGCCCATCTCCGCCGTGGACATCTCGCCTCGTGCGGGCACCTGCCCTGCTGTTTGGCAGACTATCGCTGCCGATCTCACGAATCTCTTCCGAGGTTGCAACAAAGCAGCTCGCTCAGCCGTTCGCGCTGTGCTCCACGACTGCTTGCCTGATGGCTGCAACGGCAGCTTGATTCTTTCCCAGGAAGAATGCTCACGAGTCGAGAACCTTGGACTGCAAGCGCTCTGCACGACACTCAACCAGAAGCGTATTCAGTACCGTGTTGGTGCTGCTGACATGGTGCAATTTGCTGGTGCAATGGCACTTTCAGCATGCCCGCTCGGCCCCCAGGTTCAGGCGCTTGTGGGCAGAAAAGACAGCCCACAAGCTGCACCACGAAACGGCCTACCCAGGAGCTCGGATACTGTCCAAAAGATTCTGAGCATGTTCGCGGCCAAGGGATTCTCCCCTCAAGACGTGGTTGCGCTACTTGGAACACACAGCATAGCGATCCAGGTCCAAGATGATCCCTCGAGAGCTGGTGCATCACTCGACTCGACGCCAGCTGTTTGCGACATTAGGTATTACGCAGAGACAAAGGCCGGAACTGCGCCTTATTCTCTTCGGAGCGATCGTCTCATGTCCAGCGCGGCCGAGGTGCGTATTCTACATGCTTTCAAGACGTTTGATATAATGATAAGAAACTGACTAGTGTTGAATCATAGACTTATAGATCATGGGCCGTCTTCGCAAAGTCGACCGCGCTATGGGCCAATGCTTTTACAAGTGCATGGAACCGGTTCGCAGTCATTGGCAACAACGTACAGACTCTCCAGGACTGCTCTCATCTTGTCCCCAAGTCCAGGGTTCCCCGTGCCAGACAGGTGGCTCATGCACAGATGATGGAAAAGTTGACCAAGAAGTTCATAGAAAAGGAGCATTAAGTCAGAGGATGGATAAGACTGTATATAGCTTGATGTGATTACTCTAAGTTCCCTTTGAGAGATACAAGCGGATAGAAGGTCTCGTCAATCATATCTATAGTAATCGCTTCTCTAGACGCCACCTTCACTTGTCTTATCGAGGTCCCATGATTCGTGGTAGAAATCCATGTTCAGCTTATACACATTTGTTGCACGATAACGTGTGTTGTGTGCGACTACATGGTGATGCACTTGTCTAAGTCAGATACGTTGACGTGGCTGGTATCGATGACGGGCGGCTATTCTAGACGATTGAAGACTGATGCGGTACTCTTCTGTTGTAATAAGATTGTGAGTCTCTGCAACCATGAACGTTGATCAAGTTACGTTCTCCATGGTCTTTGTGCGACATCCAGTGTCCTTGTTTGCTTCCAACACAGGAGAAACCACAACCCTCTCTTCATGTTGCAACGGGGGCAGGGCCAGGTGGAGCAACGGTAGGAGCAGAATCGCCAGCACTTGGAGCGGGATTGGCGTTGACCTGACCTCCACCTCTTGCGGCCCCACGGCCACCCCGTCCTCCACGGGGAGCAAAGTTGGTGCGACCTCCGCCACGAGCAGGGCCTGGTGGAGTGGGGCCATTGAAGCGAGGATTCCTGGCCACTTTTTCCTTTCGCTCGAGTACCTGGACAGCGCCCTGGGCAATCTTGATTGGACTCGCAGCCATGGCCTTTTGAAGACCTTGAGGCTCAGTAAAGTCGACGTAGGCGAAGCCCTTGCGCTTGTCGATTTCGACCTTTTCAATGGCGCCAAAGAGCTTCATGGCTTCTTCGATGAGTGGCTCGGTGATGCCCTGGCTGGGGTTGGCATGCTTGAGAAAGGCTTGTTTGCTGGTAGGCGCGGGGACAGACTGTGCCGGGGCAGCTTTTGAGGTGTTGTTGGCCGCAGGGGTCGGAGTACTGTCTACCTTTGCAGGAGGAGCCTGCGGCTGCGCTGAAGCAGGGCTGTTTCTAGCGGCAACAGGCTCTGATGGTGGGGCTCGTGAGGCGGCTGGGCCTTTTGGTGTTGTTTGTGCCTGAGTGGGCTGGGGCTTCTTGAGAATCTGAGGAGCGGGCGTTTTTGCTGGTGTCTGTGACTTGGCTTCGGTAGTCGAAGCCTTATCATTAGCCTTGTCGCCCTGGTTCGCCTTGAACGCACGTCGTTCGGCACGGGTTGGGCGTTCCTTTCTGTTTGGGTGGGCAGACTTGTCTGGGGTAGCGGATACGGCTGGAGGGGTAGCGGCAGTGTCCTTAGCTTTGTCGTCAGATGGCTTTGTTTCCTTGGCTGGGGGAGCAGCATCGGGTGTGGCGGACGTAACCTCACGCTTGGTGCCACGACGACGGTTGGGGGCGGGTGCTACTCCAAGGTCGCGCTGGAGCATCGACTTTGCAAGTGCGACGTTTCCGCGCTTGCGCTCTGGGGCTGGACTTGCGGAGGCCTTGTCGGCTGGGGTGGCAGCAGCAGATGTCTTCGAAGAGGCAGCTTCCTTGTTGAGTATCTTGACGGCATCCTTGGTGGCTTGGGCCTTGTCGGCCTTGTTTGAACGGCGGGTCTTGTCGGGGGCGGTAGGGGCATTCTCCTTTGTCGACTTTGTTAAGATCTTCTTTTCGGCGCGCTCTGCGGCATCCTCCTTGGCCTCTGCACGAGCCTGTCGGTTAGGCTTTGCATTTGGCTTGTCCCTGTTTGCCTTTTTCTCACGGAGTGCCTCGATCAGAGGCGTCGTTTTGACCTTGTCCTTGGGGGCTTCGCTTTCTGGGGCAGGGGGTTTGGTGATGGGGTTGGTGAGGCTCTCGAGAAAGTCCTTGAACTCCTGGTCCTGGTCGATGGTGCCCTGGCGGTTGTCGTTGCGACGGCGGCCACCAGGCATCTTGGGGTAGGGAGCATACTCAAGCGTAGGGGGGCCGACGAGGACAGGGTCCTGCCACGACTTTGCAGCATCGTGGAAGGAAAGAGCACGAACATGATCGCCGAGGGCCTTTACGTGGTCGGGCTTGGTGACGTGCAGGTAGGCACGGGCGGGCTTCGAGGGCTTTGCGGCGTCGGTGGAGATTTTGCCTTTGCGGTAGCTGAGCCAGTCAATCTTGCCGGCGCCCAGTTTCCAGTCGTCGCCCAGGACATTGATAAACTCTTGTTTGGTCAGACCCGGAGGCAGGCGACGACAGATGAGCTTGAGGCGAGGCTGCGGGGGCTTCTGGCCGCGGGGCGTGTGGGCTGTTTGTGATTTTTGAAGCAGGGCGACGGGCAGGACGCCGGCGCTGGGGGGTGGAGGAGGGGCCATGGCAGTGCTTGGGACTGCCTGAGGAGCCGGAAGGATCACAGAGATTGAGGGTGCTTATGGCGAGTGTGGTGGTTGTGGCAGTGGGGGAGCGAGGTGGTGATGGCGGTCGTGGTAGTGGTGGTGGTGGTGGAGGAGGGGAGAGGGGCGGGTGGTGCGAGCGGACATTGGGTGTCGAATAGGCAAGAAGGACGGTGGCAGTGAATGGCAGTAGCAGTGGCAGCTTTCTTGTTGTATGTACGCGTGGTAGGGATGCAGTATGGGTAGTCGTCGTGGGCCGTAGCACTGCGCGGCTGCTGCAGTCGAGTCGAGTCGATGTTGAGGCAGCGGCGGCGCCAGGCTTGGAGGGCAGAGCCGCCCGCTCCCCCATCCCATCAGCCCCACGCACGCATGCCCCGAGCCCCCGAGCCCGAACCTCTGCCCTGTCCTGCCCTGCCCTACGTAGTACATTCACCCACACGCCCACACGCCCACACCTCCTCTATCCATATACCCACACCAGCGCCCTCTCACCTACCCACTCGCCGCACACATCTACAGCCCCCATATATATACACACATACATACACATTCCCTCTCTCGCTACCCCGCCATGGGCAAAGACCACGACGTCCCACAGCCAGGCCCTGCCCGCCTGGCAAAGGGCGCGGGCCCCGATGAATGGCTCGAGCAGGCCAAGCAATGCAAGTACCTGCCCGAGGCCGACATGAAGCGCCTCTGCGAGATTGTCAAGGAGTGCCTGATGGAAGGTGAATACGCCGCGGCCGCGCCTCGTCCTCCATACCATTAACACGCCGCCCCTTCCCAGAGTCAAACATTCAGCCCGTCCGCACCCCCGTCACGGTATGTGGTGATATCCACGGCCAATTCTACGACCTTCTCGAGCTCTTCCGCGTCGCCGGCGGCATGCCCAGCGACACGCCCACAGCGCCCCTCACCCAGCCAGTCACCATCCCCAGCACAATCAACCCGGCCGACCTCGAGCCCCCCACTAGCATCACAGACCCAAAAGTAAAGCGCAAGATGAAGCGCAGGTTCCAGCGCGACCCAAACTACACGGGCCCCGCCAGTCCCCCCGGCGGCGACGGCGACGAGGATGCCGATGACGACGACGAGGAAGAGCGCGGCCGCAGCCGGAGTGTCAACGACCGCCGCAGCTTTGGCTCCGCCTCGGACGCCGACTCGAGCAAGAACACCGTTGGCGGAAACGGCCAGCAAAACTTCATCTTTCTCGGCGACTTTGTTGACCGTGGCTACTTTAGCCTCGAGACCTTTACCCTTCTCATGTGCCTCAAGGCAAAGTAAGCCCGCCCAACAAGAAACTATGACGCATGGCCATGCTGACCTCCCCGCCCCAGATTCCCAGATCGCGTGACGCTAGTACGCGGAAACCACGAATCCAGGCAAATCACTCAAGTCTACGGCTTCTATGAAGAGTGTCAGACCAAGTATGGCAATGCCTCGGTATGGAAAGCTTGCTGTCAGGTCTTCGACTTCCTGGCCCTCGCTGCCATTGTTGACGGCAAAGTCCTCTGCGTTCATGGCGGACTGAGCCCAGAGATTCGAACACTGGACCAGATCCGTGTTGTCGCCCGCGCCCAAGAAATCCCCCACGAGGGTGCCTTTTGCGATCTTGTCTGGAGTGATCCTGAAGAGGTGGACACATGGGCAGTGTCGCCTCGAGGTGCGGGTTGGCTATTTGGAGACAAGGTCTCTTCAGAGGTATCGTGGACACGTGACTTTGTTGAAATCGTACACAGGCTAATTTTTGCCCAGTTCAACCATGTCAACGGCCTGCAGCTCATTGCGCGAGCTCATCAGCTAGTCAACGAAGGCTACAAATACCACTTCAAGGACAAGGATGTCGTAACGGTGTGGTCGGCGCCAAACTACTGTTACCGCTGCGGCAATGTTGCCTCCATTATGAACCTTGGCGAAGACCTCAAGCCCGAGTTCCAAATATTCTCGGCCGTTCCCGATCACAAGCGAGCCGTACCGGCAGGCCGTGGAGGCCGGGGCGAATATTTCTTGTAAGAGAAAAAAAAAGGGGGGGACGAGGGGTTTTCTGTAGAAGAAAAGGACTAGTGCATCGCATATGAAAACGAGAGAGACGAGGACGATGATGACGACGAGAAATGACACTTGGGCGGAGGAATGAGGGGGGATTGACATGAGAGAGCATGTCAATGTATATATACCTATATCCGCTGGCATTGTTGCCACCCTTTCCCTTTTTTTTCGCCGCGACGAATGGACGAGGAGAAGCCGTTGAATACCCCGGAGGCTGGTTGAGAGAAAACTGAAGACATGGCTCACGTTGAGTGATGCTGTGCATGGAGTGTAGTGTACGATATTTGGCGTGGATGATTGTGGTTTTATTTTGAACGGGTAGTTTGCAAGGATACGCATGCATTGTTTTTGTTTTCTGGATGAGTCAAGTGATAGAAGGGTGTATGAATTTGACGCATTTCAAAGAGTTGGTCTTAGATGACCGTAGTGGCCTTTTTCCTTCTTCTTGTTATATTTTTTACATGCTAATGAAAACAGACACAGCACCCACGACTCCGACCATTAGACTCCACGACACAGTGGAGACGACTGCACTACCAACATAGGCGACCTCTGGGGTGCCAACCTGTTTGACGCCATCAATCCTGCACACCGTCTTGCAGCTCTTTTCCTTCCTCTTTACATTTCTCTTTTTGTCGTCCTGCTGTTGCTCACCCTCGTACGGTCCACTGGTGTTGAAGGCCATGTCGATCCACTGGATGTGAAACTCTGCACTGTCGCCGACGCTCATGTTGCCGCTCCATTCCCCGCCGTCGCTCCACATGTTGAGGACGAGGTAGCTGGGCTTGCGAGGCACAGAGTAGGTATTCTGGGCCACCTGGTCGCCGTTGAGGAACCAGTAGCTCTGCTTGGGGAGCCAGTCGATGCGATGCGTGTGCCAGTCGTCCCATCGGGGCAGGTTGGCTGGGTCCAGCGACGCGGCGGCAATCTCGTTGCCTGCTTTGTCCACGGATGGCTGGTTGGTGTAGCGGATCTTGTCCTTGGGGTCTTGGGTTAGGATCTCAATGTCGGACTCGTTGTTGTCGTCGAAGAAGGTGAAGAAGCCTGCGACTGCGCCTGAGGAGCCCTGCACGCGCCCGTACATGCGCAGAGAAGCGTGCATCAGGTTCTTTTGCTGGTTCTCCATCTCCGCTGCTGTTTGGTGTGACGACGCGCGCGTTGTACGCATCGCCAGGTACGATGTGTCTTGCTCGGATCCGAGATAGATGTTTGCGGGCGAGTTGGTCAGTGGTACAGGGAAATCAGAGGTAGCATCTTTGCTCCAGTTTTGGATGCCCCAGTCGAAGTTCCAGGCATCGCTGTTGAACAAGTCGGGCTGCCATGTTGGTAGTTGTGCAGCGTTTTGCGACTGGTTGATCGTTGGTGGTGATTGGTCGAGGGCGCCGGGTAGGTTGCGAAAGTCGTAGAAACGGTAGTATTGAAAATAGGATGGATTCTTGGCCTCTGCCCCGGACGAAACCATGTAGCAGTCACAGTCTGCATTGTTGTCTTTTGGCGTTTCGCTCATGCTGCTGGTGTAGGGGCTGGTGGCGTGAGTGGGCGAGACGAGCAGAGCGGTTAGAGGAAGGAGCAGGGCTCCAAGGGATGGGAAACGAGACATGTTGGGAGAGTGAACAAGATGCTTTGATTTCCGTAGAGGCGTAGATGAAGAAGAAGTACAAGTACAGTGTATGGAGAAGAAGAACAGTCAGGTGGTTGATGGACAACGGACTAGGTAATTAGGGTAGAGGTAGTACAAGCGTGAATGACTGTTAGTAAGGAATACACTGGGAAGAGAAAAGTCGAGGAAGATAAACAGGTTGATCGAATAACTGCGGCGCTGTACAGAAGAATACTTGACGGCGACGACGAGGACGCAGAGAAAAGGGCCCACGAACAAAGAGGCACGATGAGTGTGGATTGAGGTGCTAGTATATTATACGGAGTATTGATTCAAACGGGCAAGGTAGGAAGGAGCAGTGGAGCCTCGCAAGCGCCACCCGCCAGGCTGGACGGGGCTGCGCTGTGTTTTTGTGTGTGTGCGTGTGATTGTGTGTGCCTGGCCTTCCCCTCAAATCACCACGCCGTGAGGCGCAGCTACCAAACCACCATTCCCACCACCATCACATGCTTCGACGACATGACGATGACGACGACGACGATGACAGTGAAGATGAAGAAACGGGCCAGAGAGGTCAATGAAAGAGGAGGGCAAACACAAGACAATCCTCTTTTCCACTGCATTCATCTTCTGTTGCCCGCCGCCCTGGGCCGGCAGCCGGCATGGATTGTTCGAGGCGTGTGGTTTGGGACGAGGGGTGCAACGGATACGGATGCACACGCGCCCCTCGCCGGTCGTGCTTAGCCTGTTTCTGGCAACGCCTACAAGCTTAGAACGCGCTTTATTAAAGTAAACCACGCGCGCGTTTCAGTGTACCGTTGGTTGCCGTCGTTTATTCGAATGGCCATGTGTTTCTCTTCCGCGCCAGTCCGCTCGTCGGGCTTGGCCATGGCTTGTGAGCTGTCGCTAGGTCCAAGAGGCGTAGTCTTGTTGGCAAGACTCGTATATGTAAGTTCAATGACAACAACAATCAGTCCGAGTGAGTTTGTCGAGTCGTGCTAAAACAAAAGGTTATAGGACAGGATCCTTTTGGGAAACTCACCAGCCACAGTCCCGCACCCCCCTGTGCTCCACTCGGCCTCTGGCACACGCCAATGCGAGTTCCTCGCCCGAAATAGCATCCGGAGCCCCTAGGCCAATATTGCTTCCAAGCACCCGCCAAGCTGCTGCCCACCAAGCCAGCAATTCAGCCAGCGTCTTTGGCCGGTCGTGGTGGAGTCGAATGACATGGCAAACAAACGTCTGACACGGTGCGGGCCAAAGATCTATATCTAGTCATACACACGCAAATCTATCCACGATTACATTTCGGTGCATTGGCGCCGTCTGGGGTGCGCCCGCCCAATGACGTTTCTTCTGCACGTCCAACGCGACGCACAGGCAGTCAGACGGATGCATGCCATCCACTAGCTCATCACTGTTTGGACCTCTGTTTGGACCTCTGTCTAGTCCTGCCTTGCCGCCCACGCTCCATGGCCTTGTCGCGGTCAGTACTTACATATTTGAGTACATACATAGGTACCACATCTACAGACATGTCTACTGTACGGGCACCATGGTTCAACTGCCCAATTCTCATACTATTTACTCCCGTACCACATATTTCGTCTCTCAACTTCTTGCTTAGGATACTGCTTCAACTATATATCCTACTAGTACCTTCTTTTTGTTCTAAAAAAAAAACTCTTACAGTACCCCTATAACCAGTCAACAAGTATACAGTAACTTGGTTGGCTGCCATACAACGAGAGCTTACAGCGCCAATTTGATCGTCAACGTGCATACACACTTGTCGGCATCTGGTAGAGTAGTCGATCCATCATGACGACACATCACCACCAAGACTAGTCGTCTTGGCTGCTGACAATAGTTTCACTCCAAGCACATGTACCATGAGCACCTCTCGTCCCGTTATACCAATTCGTACTCTACACACTATCGAGAGTTTGACTCGAAAAAAAAAGATACAAACCGCCATACGATTGTTGAATGAGCATATGCAACCCATCATCATCCATGGACCAATGTCTGGCTAGGGCGAGATGTCTTGATCCTCAACAGTACCTACTCCACTGCTTACGGGTGCCCTGAATTCCGCCCCTCAAGCAGCGCCACTACCATCAGCGTTCATGCACATCACATATCCTTTTCCCTTCTACTTAAGACAACCCCCCTGTCCTCCTCCCTCCTTTCTTCACGCAGTCAGATCGCTACTCTTCTAGACCTCACCCTGAGCAATAATTAATCTGCAATTCTACTTTCTTCTACTTTTTTGTCGTATCCGGCTAAAAGCAATATTGCATTTGAAACCCCTGGTCTAACAGAATGCGTTTCTCACACGTCGTTGCTGCCTCATTGGCCGGACAGTTTGTCGCTGCCCATGGAACAGGCATGGAAGGCATGCCCAAGACGTTTGGCATGCCGAAAGAGCTACGCGCTAGAAACCCTCTCGCTCGCCTCCAAACTCTCTACGCTGCTCATTCTGCGCCTGCTCTTGACACGAGGCAGGAAGTCGAACGCTGTGGTCCGGCAAACGGCAATCAAAAATGTGCTGGAAACGATTGCTGCTCAGCAGCCGGTTACTGCGGCACTACAAAAGATCACTGCAAAGCACCCGACTGCTTGTTCAACTATGGCCCTGGATGTGACGCCAACAAGACCCCATCCGGCGCGAGCACACGCAACGTCCCCCGGCCCAAACTTGGCAGCATTCCTTATGGTGGTGCAGGCATCTACGCCTGCAAAAACCCCGGCACAGTAGCCATCACATACGACGATGGACCTTTCTCCTACACCGAGTCCATCATGCAGCAGTTTGAGGCAAGAGGAGGCCATGCTACTTTCTTCGTTACCGGCAACAATCTTGGCAAGGGCGCCATTGACCAACAATGGGCTGGTGTTGTGCAGAAGATGTACAACAACGGACACCAAGTAGCGTCGCACACATGGAGCCACCAGGATCTCTCCATCATTAGCAGGGAACAGGTCTATGACCAGATGGTCAAGAACGAAATGGCCATTCGCAACATCATTGGCCGCTTCCCGACCTACATGCGTCCGCCCTATTCGTCGTGCAATGGACAGTGCCAGGAAATCATGGCTGAGCTGGGCTATGTCATTTCTTATTTCGATCTCGACACTGATGGTAAGTTTTCGTCAAACTCTGTTATTAACACAACAGTATTTCTAACACAACAAAATAGACTACAACAACCTTACCCCTGCGAAGATGGAGACTTCAAAGAACAACTTCAAGCAAGCTCTCGACACGCGCAGCGACAACAGGCTGGCTATTGCACATGATATTCACCAGCTCACTGCTGATACCCTTACGGGCTACATGCTAGATTACCTCTACGGCAAGGGCCTTCGCGCAGTCACCATGGGCGAGTGTATGCAGGATCCCAAGGAGAACTGGTATCGCCAGGGCTAATTACTCTTGGGCTGAGGGATCGTTTTGATGACTTCATCTTCTGTGTAGAAATTGGTCGTTGGTGTTTGTATTTGTCAAAAGGTAGAAGAGATGTTCTTCAAATTAATGATATGCTTATGTGGCTGGGAAAAAGGCATTGTATAAACATACCCAGAAACGAAAAGACAAATGGTTACGTGATGTTGTGTCTCTTCCACTTTGGAAAATCAAGGAAAGGGTTGGGCAGTCGTATCACCAAGACACCGAAGCGCCATCCCATAATTGCGTTAAAGAAAACATCATGACTGTGCACTTGATTGACTCATAAATTCTTTTATCATTCAGGAAGTAGAAAAGAATAAAAAAAATGTATATCCTATGAAACTACATTCTCGTCTAATCACAAAAAAAAAGACCTACCTCATCCACCGAAGAGAAAACATATACACAACTGCCAATGAGCCCCGTGAACATCTTTCCTCCTTTAACAACCAACCTTTTTACTCCCTCTCGAGCTTAAGACCACGTCACAACCGTCGATGGCTTACCAAGACTGATGCTATCATCCGGTGTAACAAGCTCATCACGCTTCTCCTTGCTCCACGTGATCTCCGTACTAGGCTTACCCAGCTCAATCGTATCCTCGGGCGTACCAACAGTGGTTGTGGACTCGCGCTTGCCCCAGGTAACGACCGTGTTGGCGTTACCCAAGTTGAAGCTATCCTTTGGCTTTTCAAACTCGACGCTGCGGGCCTTGCTCCAGATGATTTCCGAGTTGGGGGGCGTGAGCACGATGTCGTCGGGGTTGACGGGCGGCTCGTCGGTACGGGCTTTCTTGTCCTTGCTCCAGATGATTTCGGACGTGGGGGGCGAAATGTCGACGATGTCTGGGTTGGTGACTTCGGTGGCGACGCTCCTGCCCCAGGAGATTTCTGATGAGGGCTTGCCGAGCTCAATCGTGTTTGGGGGGTTGGTGATGGATAGGTTCTGGGCTTGGGTTAGTAACTGTGAAAGGGGGAAGCAGAAGGCTTGCTTCGCCTGGATGAGTACGTACGTCGGCTGATGGGACAGGCGCGGCGCTGCTCATGGCCACCAATACGCCTGCGGCGAGCATAGAGACTAGTCGGTACTGCATCTTTTCACTTTCCTTCTTTCTGTCTTTCTTTTCGCTTGACTGGCGTCTTTCTTGTTGGGTTGATGATTCAAACAAAGAGGGAAATCGAAGATCGAATTATTTTCACTGTCTGATTGCAAAGGGAAAAAAAAGGAGGGGTTTGTCTGTGGCTGGGACTGGTTTTATATAAATATATCAGATTGACTCTCGTGAGTGGCGAGTGATGGCAGCAGAAACATCGGACGCAATTTATGCACATGGTCTGAACCAAACTTTGCCCATCCCTCGTTATAGCGCAGCGTGTAGTACTTGACCGGGTGGGGCAGGTGAGGTGACTGCTGTGTTCGAGGCCATAGATACGAGATGCTTGCAATTTGGGTAAAGTACTCTATCCTTCCAGGTTCGGATTAGCGCGACAGAGAGACACGGGACCTGTTCAGCCAGAGTTTGACAGCCACACATATTGGGCGCCAAACTTTGCTGCCGCATGATGTGAGATCCGATGTTCCGAATGAAATTATTCGCTCTTCCTCCTACACCAAAGGTTTGACGTTGATAGGCCCCGGCTTGTACCTGGAGTATAACTATTATAAACAAACGAGCTTTTGAGGACGACAGCGTACATATTCTTCTTGACTCTTGCCTGTCCACGACAATCTTCCTGCAATATCGGACCATCTGGTATCGCTGTACTACATTCCTTCTGCATGGCTCGCAAGGTACCCTCGAATAACTAAACCCCCTAAACGTGCATGCGGTAGGGATGGATGCAGCAGCGTCGAATCCAAGTGACACGTCGTGCAGTGATTTCGTAACCCGATGTATCTTCAAGGTGGTATTCCTTCTGGTGCTACACAGCCGTTTCACTGCGCTAACCTCCAACCTTCAGCTTTGCTGTAGCCAATCCGTGTCCCAACCTGTGCGTTCAGCGTCAAACGGCTCGCATTCAATACTGCTAGTGCCAACCGTTCTCCGGCGCGAACGATAGCGCAGAATGTTCCCTCTTCATCTATTATCGGCACAGTGCGGAGAGGTGTCGCTCCTCCGGCTGCGAAGCAGAATCGTCTTGGTACACACGCCATCTGTCGTGTCCCTTGACATCCAAAGGTGGCTGATCTTTAGATTTGAAAATGTCTTGGGTGCAAACTAGATCCTGATGCCGAGCCGTTCTGGAAGCAAAAAGAATATTGATGCATTCTGAATTCTAGACCCAGATTGCGCAAATGCATATGGACTCCACGGGGTGAATGCACTCCTGCTCAGCAGGATGCGTGGTGATATGCAGGGAAACACCGAGAGGTCTAGATCCAAAGATAGCAAGAAAATCCGGGGAAAGGAATACCTGGCTGTATAACGGCTATGAGAGTGGTGCGCACTGGCCAAGACCAGTAATCCCAGTTCACTATCAGTGTGACTGATATAGTCTCCTTGTAGTACATGTTCAGCTGTCCTTGGCTGCAGATGCAGGTGATTAGATTGAATCTGCGCGATCCAGTTAAGCGAGCATCTGAGCCCATTTGTGCGTGGTCGACGCCAATGTTGCAAGAGAGATGTAACTTGACGCAACACTTTCGATAGCTTCGGCTGAACGTCAGGTCGTCGATTTCGGATACGATGTGCCAAGGGGTTTTGGAAAGCTTGGTGTTTGAGTGTCAGCCATGCGTTTTGGACGACCTTGTGGCAACAGCGGCAGAGGACGTCGATCCAATAGAAACAACGATAGCAGTCCCAAGTTATTTCTTGCTGATGCAAAGCCTTGACCATGCTCACTAAGTGTTCCTGACCTCGGTGATGAAGTTGTGGAAGTGGGACTGTAAATTGTGGTGCAGCGTGGGTAATCTAAATAGACAATCAGGGACAAGCATGTCCTCGGCAAGATAGCAATCGGGTGACATCTGCGGGATGGTATCCGCAAACGTTTATTCGGCTCGCCACCGTTATTAGGTGTAAGTTAAGGGATCAACATTGCTCGCATGGCGAGCAGATGTGGGAATGTATTCGCTGATTGAGACTGTGCAAGCAGCAATAGGTTATTGCAGTGATAGGGATATGGACGACTTTTCGAAGAAAAAAAAAACCATAGTTCACATTGTCGCGTACATACTCAGAGTCACCGTAAAACGCCGGCCCAATGCTCTGATATGCACAGTGGTATAAACATATGTAATGTACAGAGAGCCATAGAGATCTCATGGCTCTGGCTCTTTTGGCCTCACGCCGAACTCATGTTCGACCCAAGATGCCCATGCTTCTTTGGTATCGGCCGTATTATGCTCAATATCTCCGAAAGTATCGAACTCGTCTTGTGAGAGCGCTGCGTCATCAGTATCGATCACATCTGGCGCGACCTCTGGCCCAGAGGGTTTGGCGTCCTGGACATATTGCGACACAGCAATCATGACATTATCGGCAACCCAAGCCGGAGCCAAATATTCGTTCTTGCGCTTTGCTAAGCTCGTCGTTCGTGTAGCCGCATCAATGATGAGCTTGCGATCAAACCCTCCCCTGGCTAGATCGTTCAAGATCTGATTGAAGGCAACGGTGTTGCCAGTGATGGAACACAAGCTGAGCATGTGACTGTACGCTTTGGCCATATCGTGATGCTTCACGCGTGTCTTGATACCGTTGATCTCTTCCCACACGTATAAACCACCTTCCCAATCAGCTCGGCGTACACAATCGCCCAACAATCTGGTTAGTCCTCGCACGTCAAGACCCCAGCCATCTGCCTTCATCTCGTAATAGATGTCTAGAGCTCGATCAAAACCAGCAAACTTGATGACACCACCTATGAGCGCACCAAACACCATGGGCGTTGGATGAACCTTTTGAAGAACCTTTTCTGGGCTGACGCGGATGAGGCGATCTTGGCTGGCCTCATTAATACTGATATCTGGATTTGCAAGCATGAGAGCATCTTCCAAGCCCCTCATCTTGGCTACAAAGCGTGAGAAGCTGGCAGCTGACGAGTGTCCTCCTAGCGTGTAATGATCCAGAATCTCGCGACAGGTGATCTCATTAGGTCGTATCTTGTTGGCGTAAAGTGCAGGTATGACGCGCTCAACTAGCTCCCTGCGACGCCAGCGTCTAAAGCCTACCAGCAGGGTATTGAATGTCTGCAGATCCGGAGAAGCGGAGGAAATGAGGAGATTGTGGCATATTCTTGCGACAGCGAGGGCCGCCTTCCGATCGTTACCGCGGGGTGTTTCGCGAAGCAAGGTTTTGAGACCATCATTCAACTGCTTTGTAATGCCATAAAAGTCGCCATCGGCGTCCTGGTGATAGCTCGGAATTGCTAGGGGATTGACCCGGATGCGGGCAGTTGCAAAGTCTTCGGCAGGACTGTCTACACGAGTCTTGTAGAGTTTCTCAAGTGCATCTAAAATCTCTAAACGTGCTTCTTTGCGTTCGACTTCGGTCATGCTAACAACTTTTAGGATCTGTGGTGCCAGCTTGTTCAGTTCGTCACTCGCAGTGTTCAAAAAGCGGAAAACACTAGCTTGGTGTAGCAATTCATGGATAAGAACTGCAATGGAAAGCTCCTGTATGGCCAGCTTCTTCCGAGTATGCCGTCTCCGCATGGCGTTCAGACGCAAGGCATCTGGTGCCCATAGTGACTGAGGCGGAAGGTTGTAGCGCACGAGATCCGGCCCTGTATTTGCCGGCCATTCGAGCAGCTGGGCGCCGGGGAATCTCGAATCAAAGCGTAAGTCATCCCATGCCATGTCTGCATAATCGCGAATCTGTGACTCAACCTCTTGCGTCTGCAAGACTTGATCTTCAACAAGGTCCATGCCTATGGTCCTCTGCACAGCAGCCCAGTCAAGATCTTGAGGGAGGTCGTCAAATGACAGGCCACAGATTTCAGAATGCTCGTAGGGGTGAGCACTCGTCACGTTTGGCTTCGTGTCTCTGTCGACTGGACTCTGAGCATCGACGGGCTCGTTCAGTTTGTCGAATGCCTGCTCCCATTGCGTGTTCCTGGCCGCTTTGGCCTTTGCATCAACAGTCAGCCCTGCGGCAAAAATGGCTGTGTATAGGAAAGTTGATGTGGGTGTTCCGGGTGTAGACCACGAGCGACGAAAGGGCGCTGGACTGTTTGTGCGTGCGCGGACGACTGTGTTGGAGGCGCATGACATGCACCTGCAGGATCCCGGGTTTACTGTTGCCCGGGACCAAATTGCTAGCATTGCTACCGGAGCATGCTGTGCGAAGAGTGGAGGGGCGACGAGAGAGCAGGTCGCGGGTAGGAGGGCGAGACGACGCACGGTGGTAGGCGCAATGGTGCAATTGGTGGCAGATGCCTAGGGGATATGAATAAGGCGTAAGAAAGCAGGCGTGATAGTCGGTCGAAGGTGCAATGGCGGGTTGGCTGAGTAGTAGAAAGCAGTGGGACGATGGGAATATGACGATAAAATCTTAGCGCACCCGCTGCTAGTTTGCGGCTCTGGAGTCTGAGCTGGACGCGGCAAGGAAACACGCAGGACCGGACCAGACAAGACGGATCATGGTTGTGTCTACAAAAATCGATCCATGTGATGTAACAGCCTCAAGATCCAGGTACCGCTCTATTCGTGCATACTGAGAGGCTCCTATGTATGTCCTCGCACTATGTACTAGATAAATACACGAGAGTACATAGTCCTGGCCCCAAGCCCGTTCCATGCCTTCCCCGCGGTGAGAGACCCACCAACCAGCCAATCGGCGTTACCTTTTGCCGACAACTTTCCAAAGCTGCAGAGCGCGACCATTGCTGCATACCCTCTCACCCAACACCTCACCACCAATCGACCTCGGCGTCGCATTCCCCTACCTTCCCGCCTTTCCCCGCGCCAAAAAGGCTTCTTCCCGAGTCGCAGATATGGCGGTATGCGGTTCCTGATTCTGCTACACTCTTGCGCCTGGCTAACGACTTGCAGGCAGTCGCACCTTTCAACCCCCGACCTCTCCTCCAGAGCTTGTACGTCGCGCCTTCTCCAAGAAGCCCACCTTCACTGCGACCTACGCGAGACTCCGACTGA